GATGATGCCTTATAATGCTTAGGAGAGGTTCAACAGGGGGGGGGGGGGGGGGGGGGGGGGGGGGGGAGGAGAGGTGATTTTTTACTGTGTTGTGAGGTGGTGGCGGTGCTGAAGTGTTCATAAACTTCATATCGTTGCTTTTTCTTTCTCGTTTCCTGTTCTGCGACGAAGATGGTGTTTTGGACCCTTTCAAAAATAAAATGCTTCAAATGCATTTGAATTTTGAAACAATCAACTGGTCGATCGGTCAAATTCCAGTCGGATAAAGTGTTGGGAACTGTGCCGCAAATGTGGCGTGTTTTGAGCCGTGTTGCAAATGTGGCATGTTTTGAAATCCTGCCTTACTACCGTCTTCGCCCGACCATAACACACCTTCATTCTGAATGTATAGAACTCATCTTTGCGGTTCGATGCAGTCATAATGAGGGTGCATTGCGCTCGGGAGAAGATGGGTAGGTTGCCATCAGCAGAAGCGATCCGTTCCCTCTCTCGGAGTCTCTCCCCCCCCTGCCCCTCCCATTTCTCTCTTCCTCACTGGAGCCCTTTGCCCTTCCTCGACAACTCACCGGTTTGCGTCCTCACTGTCCCTCACTTCCTACACCTGCAGCCCTCAGTTCGTACCCCCTCCTCCCATATTCCTCTACCACCCCCATCCCCCCTCCCCCCTGTCTCTTATACACATCTAGATGTGTATAAGAGACAGGTGGGGTTGTGTGATCGGTGAGGATGTTTGCAGTTGTCATATGTTACAAGTATCCGGTTGGAATCAGAATGGACAATTGTCAGAAGGATATTTCTGAAATTGTCTGTTTAAGCTGTGGGCGTGCCGTCAAATACGAACTGTTTCCATCGTCTTGATTGAGCTGTTCGACAGGGTGCGACACTGATTAGGAAAGAGAGGGAGCGAGAGAGATTGTGCGGTGTAGAAGCAAGCACTAATGATGGCATCGTTTTAATGTCCGTCATGATTTCACAGGAGTGGAAGCTGGGTTTGGCAATTCTGGCCACAAGTCCGAAGAACGCAGGCAGTTTTTTCTTTCTCTCCTTATCCTGTACATTTGTAGAATGTCAGAGATTGTCGTACTCTCGGTTGCGCAGAGTGATTATTAAAAATCTTTTTTTTTTTTTTTTCTTAAGTTTTTCAAATTGTTTTGGTGGTGTCATTTTTTTTCTTCTAATTGGGTGCTGGTGTTGGTGTTGGCGGCGATGATGCCTTATAATGCTTAGGAGAGGTTCAACAAGGAGGAGAGAGAGGTGGGGGGGGGGGGGGGGGGGGGGGGGATTTTTTACTGTGTTGTGAGGTGGGGGGGGTGCTGAAGTGTTCATAAACTTCATATCGTTGCTTTTTCTTTCTCGTTTCCTGTTCTGCGACGAAGATGGTGTTTTGGACCCTTTCAAAAATAA